CTTAATAATAAGGGTAGATTTGCTTTCTCATATTGTATTGGCTTTTTTTACCTATAATTAACCGGTAGATATGGTTGTTTTTGTAAAATTTAGGCATTTACTTCATAAATATAAGGGTAAGATGTTTGCGTCTCAGATTTATTGGCTTTTTTACACTATAACTTACGGTAAGATATGTTGTTTTTGAAAATAGCTATTTACTAATAAATTAAGGGTAAGAGTTGCGTTCTCAGATTTATTGGCTTTTTTACACTATAACTTCCGGTAAGATAGGTGTTTTTGGGAAATTAGGCTATTTACTTAATAAATTACTTGTAAGATGTTGCGTTCTCTGATATATAGGCTTTTTACACTAAACTTACCGGAAGATATGGTGTTTTTGAAAATTAGGCTATTTACTTAATAAATTACGGTAAGATGTTGCGTTCTCAGATTTATTGGCTTTTTACACTATAACTTACCGGTAAGATATGGTGTTTTTTGGGAAATTAGGCTATTTACTTAATAAATTACTGGGTAAGATGTTGCGTTCTCTGATATATGGCTTTTTACACTATAACTTACCGGCAAGATATGGTGTTTTTTGGAAAATTAAGCTATTTACTTAATAAATTAATGGTAAGATGTTGCGTTCTCTGATATATGGCTTTTTAACACTATAACTTACCGGTAAGATATGGTGTTTTTGGAAAATTAGGCTATTTACTTAATAAATTACGTGTAAGATGTTGCGTTCTCTGATATATAGGCTTTTTACACTATAACTTACCGGCAAGATATGGTGTTTTTTGGAAAATTAGCTATTTACTTAATAAATTACGTGTAAGATGTTGCGTTCTCAGATTTATAGGCTTTTTACACTATAACTTACCGGTAAGATATGGTGTTTTTGGAAAATTAGGCTATTTACTTAATAAATTATGGTAAGATGTTGCGTTCTCAGATATATAGGCTTTTTACACTATAACTTACCGGTAAGATATGGTGTTTTTGGGAAATTAGGCTATTTACTTAATAAATTACGGGTAAGATGTTGCGTTCTCAGATATATAGGCTTTTTACACTATAACTTACCGGTAAGATATGATGTTTTTTGGAAAATTAGGCTATTTACTTAATAAATTACTTGTAAGATGTTGCGTTCTCTAGATATAGGCTTTTTACACTATAACTTACCGGCAAGATATGGTGTTTTTGGAAAATTAGCTATTTACTTAATAAATTAAGGGTAAGATTTGCGTTCTCAGATATGGCTTTTTACAACTTAAACTTACCGGTAAGATATGATTTTGGAAAATTAGGCTATTTACTTAAAAATTTACTGGTAAAAATGTTGCGTTCTTCTAGATTATCTTTTTACCCTATACTTACCGGCAAGAATTTTTTATGGTGTTTTTTGGAAAATTAGGCTTATTTCCTTAATAAATTAATGGTAGATTTGCGTTCTCAATTTTATTTTTGCTTTTTTATTATTATACATAACTTACCGGTAATATATGGGGTTTTTGGAAATTAGGCTATTTTACTTAACAAATTCTTGAGATGTGTGCGTTCTCTGATATATAGGCTTTTTACACTATAACTTACCGGCAAGACATGATGTTTTTGGAAAATTAGGCTATTTACTTAATAAATTAAGGGTAAGATGTTGCGTTCCTCAGATTTATTGGCTTTTTACACTATAACTTTACCGGTAAGATATGGTGTTTTTGGAAATTAGGCTATTTACTTAATAAATTACGTTGTAAGATGTTGCGTTCTCTGATATATAGGCTTTTTACACTATAACTTACCGGCAAGACATGGTGTTTTATGGAAAATTAAGCTATTTACTTAATAAATTAAGGGTAAGATGTTGCGTTCTCAGATTTATTGGCTTTTTTACACTATAACTTACCGGTAAGATATGGTGTTTTTGGGAAAATTAGGCTATTTATTTAATAAATTACTTGTAAGATGTTGCGTTCTCTGATATATTGGCTTTTTACACTATAACTTACCCGGTAAGATATGTGTTTTTTGGAAAATTAGGCTATTTACTTAATAAATTAAGGGTAAGATGTTGCCGTTCTCAGATTTATTGGCTTTTTTACACTATAACTTATCCGGTAAGATATGGTGTTTTTGGGAAATTAGGCATATTTACTTAATAAATTAACGGGTAAGATGTTGCCGTTCTCGATATATTGGCTTTTTTACACTATAATTACCGGCAAGATATGGTTGTTTTTGGGAAAATTGCTATTTACTAATAAATTATTGTAGCTGGTGGTTCTTGTTATAGGCTTTTTACAATAGAACTTACTGGAAAGAAATGCTGTTTTTGGGAAATGAAAAGCTATTTACTTAATAAATACTTGTAAGATGTTGCGTTCTCAGATATTAATAAAAAAAAAAAAAAAAAAAAAAAAAAAAAAAAAAAAAAAAAAAAAAAAAAAAAAAAAAAAAAAAAAAAAAAAAAAAAAAAAAAAAAAAAAAAAAAAAAAAAAAAAAAAAAAAAAAAAAAAAAAAAAAAAAAAAAAAAAAAAAAAAAAAAAAAAAAAAAAAAAAAAAAAAAAAAAAAAAAAAAAAAAAAAAAAAAAAAAAAAAAAAAAAAAAAAAAAAAAAAAAAAAAAAAAAAAAAAAAAAAAAAAAAAAAAAAAAAAAAAAAAAAAAAAAAAAAAAAAAAAAAAAAAAAAAAAAAAAAAAAAAAAAAAAAAAAAAAAAAAAAAAAAAAAAAAAAAAAAAAAAAAAAAAAAAAAAAAAAAAAAAAAAAAAAAAAAAAAAAAAAAAAAAAAACACTGAACCATTAACTTAATACTTGGAAGAGTTGATTAAATTTAAGTAAAGCAGTTTGGTTGTTTGTTTCTCCCGCAGACTTTGATCCCCCCCTGCCTGTATCTTGTAAATATGATTCAACAATTTATTTGTTAAACTAAAGCAGATGGATTATAATAAGTACATTAAAAACAGTATCTCAGTTGTTTAGTCAACTATAAGGAAACCGGCATACATGAATGTGCAGGATCATAAGGTGTATAAATAAGTTTAAGCTGCTATTGGTGGTTCGTTCGAAGAAGTCTAACCGAACCCTAAACCCAATGCATGGCTTTCATAACTCGGTTGGAAACAATAATTATTTGTATCACATTAGAGACGAGCACAAAAGAACGTGCATTTAGTGCAAGCTATATGCGATTTTAGACTTACATAGTGATATCGGTAACATGGAATGCAGAGAAAATATATCCTATGCTAATAATAAGTCTTATTTTGTGCGGGCCACTTGCTGCTACAATAATAATAATGATGATATATTAATTGAAACTTGTTTATGCAATAACTGTGCCATGTTCTGTTATCTGATTCTTAGCTGAGGCTGCTCTAGACGATGTCACTGAAATCTTGAATGTTGGAATGCATATTTCGTGGGGTTTGCATATAAATCATATAAACGTGACCCTCGCACGCGGCGGCACGCCAGCATCCTTTCTCAGTTTCATTACTGAATGTGAATTTTGTTTATCCATTGGGTTGAGCAACATTATAGATATGTAATCATTTTGTTGTTTTTTCATCAATCACATTCACAGTTTTTTTATAGGTCCCGTAACTCTGTTTTAGTCCTTTCTATTGGCATCATTCTTCTACTAAACTAGTGCCTCCCTCGTAGAGCCAAAAATATCTCATTGTCCTTCAATCAACTGTTCATCCAATGGGTATCTGTCTCTAGAATGAGAGAAATTATGATCAAAGGCGGATTCACTTCTTTTTTCTTTTCTTTTTTTCGTTTTCTTCATTGTAATATGATATTATTATTGTAGCAAATAATCTTATTATATCGATATCATCTTAATATAGGATGTCGACCATGTCAAATACTGCCCAACATGATGAGCACCACTGACACCATTAGATAAACTTAATACTTATGAACAGAGGAGGAGTGTGCATTTGCCTCCGAAAATGGCAGCAATTTGAGATCTCACTAATTCTCGAGCTAGATTGGCTATGTCTTCTTCTTGACCTAGCAACTCTAAAATGAGTGTGGCAAAGATGTAAATTGGCATGAGCGCTACTTGTAAATCCCAAGCATATGAATCTGCCCAGCTCCAAATGCCTGTCCACACAGGGTCTCCAGAGCACTCCCCATTGCCAAGCCGCATTTTATTTCAACAAACAACAACATAACATATTAAGTTTTCATATATTTGACGTTCTTAAAGTTGCCATATTGGTACAATTCATGCATCCACATCAATGTTCTCTTGCCAAATATATATATATGAACGTCATTTTCATATATCTAATTAATAAGTCGAAATTTCAAATTCACAATTCGGCAACATATAACATGTCAGAACTCATCGAAGCTCCTCACCGGGATGTTACACGTAGTGGTCTTCGGTCCCACCTTCATACAGATCATCATGAGGCTTGTTGTTCAACTCAGCGGCAACTGCTGTTAGGTAGATAGGTCCCTAAGTTTGAAGTTTTGAAGGTTAGTTGGCTCCTTTACTTCTTTAATGTTTAAAAGGTTCTTGGAATAATTAATTAAGGAAAGTGCTAGGCTACAATAATTTATTTGTTAAACTAGCAGACCGCGCTGTACTTTTTGGGATATACGATGCTAATTCAAAGGAAATGTCCGTCCATGAAAAGAAAGGAAAATAAGGTGATTTTAAAAGGATCATGAGGTGGGGAGGGGATAGATGAATCGTTGAAGCCAAGCCAACCCACGCATACATCCGTGACTCGGTTGGAAAGTAATGTTATTTGTACCATATTTAATGACGACAAGAAAACACGTAATGAGGATCACTGCTTGACGTCTGAAAATTGTAAAGATGGGCCTCGCTGCAATTAGAGATCTCACTACATCTTTTGTATTTGTACATATTAAGGGGTGCACAAAATCAAACTAGTAGGCAAAAGGATATTTATTCCATTCAAAACCTCATTCATCCAAGAAAAAAAAGTTTGAACATTGAACTGGAATGGAGGAGCGAAGAATTTCATTTTCAGGTACTTTGAGCTCCATTCTCAGCTGTGACGTCCCGACCACCCCACTTCCTCACACGTTTTGTTGCTTGCTCCACCTGCAGTTTCATTTCAATATGAATTAAGAAGGAGAAATTCAATACGGGTATATCCAAGGACCATAATGAAAACAGAATTACAAGTCAATTCTTGGTTGTATTTTGTTAAGATTTTCAAATCTCACATGGTTTATGATTTTCAATGAATTGAAATATTGATTATACCTCTTTGTTCCAGTTGGTTTTGTAGAGCACAATCAACAGAAGCAAGGTTTGGAGAGCAGTTCCACATATCATGCCCCCCCAAAGTCCCTGCATCAATCACAGGAATTCATCAAACACTTGTGAATTAAAGTAACCTACTTGGAATTTGGAAATGATACTATATATCTTAACTTACCATCACACCCAGATTTGCAGTATAACCAAGAAGATATCCAAGAGGAAGTCCAAAAATGTAGTAAGAACCCAAGTTTTATATAAGCTACCAGTGCCTGCCATCCACCTCCAATTGCAACCCCTTCAAGAACCAAGCAAGCAAACATGGGCATCAGCAGAAGAAGTGGCATTATTTGTATAACATTTCATAAACTTAGTCGCACATCAAACGGGTACCTGATATTATTGGCTGGATGCTGTTGAGCAACATAGTTATACCAAGAAGATATGCTAGCTTAGCGACCGCTTGTTGCAGCTCCTTATCACTTGTAAAAAGTAGGGAAAAACTGTCTTTGGTTATCAAGATCACAATCATGAAAAAAATCCCAATTAGAAGACACTGAAATACTGTCACATAGACAGAGTATTTGGCTGCTCTTGGTCGTCCTGATCCAAGCTCATTGGAGACACGCACACTGCATTATTAGTGGAAATTAAAAACCTTAATTAACTCATTCACCAACATGAGAATAATCATTCAAATGCAATATCCAATGCTTGTTCACCTTATTGCCACATTTATTCCAAGGAACAACATTAGTTCAAATTCGTTAATGTTCATGCTGCGAAAGGAAAAGAAGAGAATGGTATATTAGCATTAGGTATCAAAAGCTTATCATTAGCCACCATGGTATTAGCATTAAGATGTTAATTACCAAATAGAAAGGGAACCAACTGCTATAACTGCATTATCAAGATGGCCTGTGAGAATGAGTATGCTCATCGTGTACCAAATCTCAAGGCAGAGCATGACAGCAGAGGCAAGGGAAAGTCTTACAAAAGCCCATATCTCCTTGAAAGCCAACCATGAAAACCCAGTCCAGCCGTCCCTGCACCAACCCATTATATACACAACTTGAGCAATTGCCATGACCCATCTTACAATGTCAAATGCAACAGCCGCACCCAAAGTGCCCCAACCAAACACCAAAATGAAGAGACAGAGCATCCCAATTTGTATGATCAAACCCAAAACTGCAATCCATGCCAGAACCTTAACCTTTCTCTGAGCCTGAAGGAACTTCTGAGCTGGAAAAATAATGGCAAATGAGAACAATGAGGGGATTGTTTGGATAGTAAATTCTCCAGCTAGATTGGCTATGTCATCTTCTTGACCTAGCAACTTCAAAACGGGTGTGGCAAAGATGTAAATTGGCAAGATGAAGAGGCTGGTTACTAATAGGATTATCCATGAGCGTTGCATGTAAATCCCAAGCATATGAATCTCGCCAGCTCCAAATGCCTGCCCACACAGGGTCTCCAGAGCACTCCCCATGCCAAACTGCATAAACATAACATATTAAGTTTTCATATTTTTAACATTCTTAAAGTTGCCATATTGGTACAATTCATGCATCATTGTTGAAAATAATGCACATTTGGTGGAGATTTCTACAAGCTAGCAGAATTTTCTAGGATAATTTAGAATGCAAAGTCGGCGGATGTATTCCCTAAACACTAGTCGCTAACTTAATTGAAGCTAGTTGAAAGTTCTAGTTGAAACTACAATATAAGCGGCTGGAATTACAAGTTACAGGTTTACTAGAATAACCACTTTACTAGATGGTTGTTCCCTTTATAAATAGGCACTAAGCTTTCTGTTTGTAATCAATCTAGTGATAAAGGCCAATAGCTACAACTAACAGGCCAAATAGCTAAGCCTTGTATCCATCCTATTGTTAAATAAATAAAATCACTCTATTTTTCTTTTAAAAACCCAACAGTGGTATCAGAGCGCCACTCACACACTTTCTAAAACCAACAATCATCAAGGTTCTCTTTCCAAATACATATGTAATGTTATTTCATTTCATGTACTTAACTAATAATCGAAACTTCAAATTCCTAGTCTGGCAACATATATATATAATATAACATGTCAGAAACCTGACATATGAGGAACTAAGGGGAAGAAAATTGACCAAGAATCCAAAAGCGAATGTGGTAATGACGGCTAGAGAAATGGAGACAGCTGAGAGCTCTACAGTTCCGAGATGACCAACAAAGAGAACGACAGCTGAGTTAGTCCCATACATACACAACATAGTGATCACTGCCGGACCTGCCATTTTCCAGAGCTTCACTGTCTCAATCCAAAACATACACCGCAGCGCATCGAAGCTCCTCAATGGGGCATAGTCTTCATTCCCACCTTCATACAGATCATGAGGCTTAGTGCTCAACTGATCAGCGCCTGCAGCTGTGTCCAGTAGCGACTCCTCCATTAAGATAGGTAGATTAGTCTCTGTTATCGGTCCACCGTTAGACTGAAAACGCTGTTAGACTGAAAAACACTGACTATTCAACCATTGGGTCTGTACTCTCTATGTATCTGCCTCTAGAATGAGAGAAATTCTTATAAAGGCAGATTCACTTTTCTTTTTTTCGTTTTTTTTCATTGTAATATGACGTAAATAATCTCATTATATTCATGTCCACCATGTAATAAAACAACCCACAAGTCCATTTGTTCTTTTTTGACAAAGTAACCAAACCCTTTTGGGATTTTAAATTTTATTGAAATTGCAAATACGTGAGTACCACTGCTTGGTGCAGTGTCGGTTATACTCATGAGTCATATCATGGTTGGCGCCGACACGGTTGTTAAATTTGTGAACAGAGGAATATGCATTGGCCTCTGAAAATGGCAAAGCTAGAACAGAGGATATTTATTCTATTCAAAACCCTCACTTAGCCAAAAAAGTTTGAACATTGAATGGAATGGAGGAGCAAAGAATTTCATTTCATGTACTTTGAGCTCCATTCTCAGCTGTGATGTCTTGACCACCCTGATGATTTGTGGCTCAACTTGTCTACTTGCACCGAAAGTATATTCCAAGTGGGATAACTGCAGAGAAATAAGAGGCTTTGGCAGAGGAATAATAAGCTTTGGCACGTGGGGGGACAAAAGTCATGCAAATATGGCTGGCCTTGACCCGGTGGCTTCTCAATAAATGGAGAAGCATGGCAGCAGCTGAAGCAGAGGAGAAGAGAGGGGAGAAACAGCAAGAAGCCATTCGGCCAGAGAAAAGAAAATTCTCTCAAATTGTTTTTGCTTTGTATTTTCAGTGTTCTCTTCCCATTGTGAGTGTGTGAGCTTGGGTTTATTGGATCTTTAGGCATTGCCGAACCAGTATAAATCTTGGTGTTCTTGTTGGTGTTGTTTTGTTCCCTTTATCTCTTGCCCGTTGTTGTTTATTTTCACTCACATTTGGTTGACGCTTCCGGACAACACACCCCACTTCCTCACGTGTTTTGTTGCTTTCTCCACCTGTAGTTCCATTTCAATGTGGATATTATCAAATCTCGCATTGTTTATGATTTGCAATGAATTGAAATATTGACCATACCTCTTTGTTCCAGTTGGTTTTGTAGAGCACAATCAACAGAAGCAAGGTTTGGAGAGCAGTTCCACGTATCATTCCCCCCCAAAGTCCCCTGCATCAATCACAGGAATTCATCAAACACTTGTGAATTAACGTAACCTACTTGGAATTTGGAAATGTTACCATCTTAACTTACCATCACACCCCGGATTTGCAGTATAACCAAGAAGATATCCGAGAGGAAGTCCCAAAAATGTAGTAACATCCCAAGTTATATAAGCTACCATTGCCTGCCATCCACCTCCAATTGCAACCCCTTCACGAACCAAGCAAGCAAGCAAACATGGGCATCAGCAGAAGAAGAGGCATTATTTGTAGAACATTTCATCATAAAGCGTAGTGGCACGTCAACTGGCTGGATGCTGTTGAGCAACCTAGTTACAACCAAGAAGATATGCTAGCTTTGAGACCGCTTGTTGCAGATCCTTATCACTTGTAAAAATTAGGGAAAAACTGTCTTTGGTTATCAAGATTGTTTACACCATAATCAACGAGCATATCCAGTCTCAAAACAACTAGCACCAAGGCAGACACGCCTTCTCTCCTGCCGAAGGAAGACACTCTTCCGAGGTGCCAAGCACCTGCCGAAACTCCCGACTGCCAAAGCTCACAAACTGTTAAACCTAATTCTCATGACACGTGTCACCACCGCGGCAACTTGCACAGAGTCCCACATCGGAAATCTACACCAACCCTCCACTTTCACTTCCCTATAAAAAGGGAACAGTACCCTAGTAAGAGGGTAACTACTTTTCTGCCTTTTACTATTACTCTGCAAAAGTTACCATTCTTAGCTGACTTAAGCATCGGAGAGCCTTCGGCCGGCACCACACCGGTGCCCGGAGCTTGACGACTGCTTCCCCTATTTTTGTCTTCTGCAGGCTAGCCTTTATTGAAGGCCCAGACCCTTTCCCTGCTGAAGGCAAACCCCTTTTCTCTAAGTTGACCCTCTCCGAAAAAGAGCATCAACAGTTTGGCGCCGTCTGTGGGAAACGATACTTGAATCCCATTTTTTCTCTACCAGCCCAGTTGGGCTCCTTCTCCTATCCGGGCCCCGTCGCCTCTTCTTCACTCCACACTCAGCTATGCCTACTGAGGATAGCCAGGGGACTCAGCACCATATCCCCCATGGGGGTACCTCCCAGAGAAGACCTTCAGCAGATGCCCAATCTCCAGGCAGAACTGGAGAGCCTCCGCGCCAGTGTCACCAGGATGTCTGAGAAATATGACCATCTTCATGCTAAGAACGTCGAGCTCGAGCATGACTACCGCACACTGAAGCGTAACTGGGAGATGAATCAGACCCAAGGGCTCCCAACACAGCCCTACCCAGGTACCTGAGGCTAACACAGCTTTTATCATAACCTTCCAAGTGTTAACGCAACTTCTAGCTTGACAACTTGGGGGACTAGGGACTGCCCTACGGCTCCCACTGAACCTGGAATGCTCGGTCATGATCACACAAAAGCTTACAAGTTCCCAACCCAGAAGTCACTTCTTGACCGCGAACTTGGGGGGACTACTGTTTACACCATAATCAACCGAGCATATCCAGTCTCAAAACAACTAGCACCAAGGCAGACACGCCTTCTCTCCTGCCGAAGGAAGACACTCTTCCGAGGTGCCAAGCACCTGCCGAAACTCCCGACTGCCAAAGCTCACAAACTGTTAAACCTAATTCTCATGACACGTGTCACCACCGCGGGCAACTTGCACAGAGTCCCACATCGGAAATCTACACCAACCTCCCACTTTCACTTCCCTATAAAAAGGGAACAGTACCCTAGTAAGAGGGGTAACTACTTTTCTGCCTTTTACTATTACTCTGCAAAAGTTACCCTTCTTAGCTGACTTAAGCATCGGAGAGCCTTCGGCCGGCACCACACCGGTGCCCGGAGCTTGACGACTGCTTCCCCTATTTTTGTCTTCTGCAGGCTAGCCTTTATTGAAGGCCCAGACCCTTTCCCTGCTGAAGGCAAACCCCTTTTTCTCTAACCCCCCCCTTTTTTTTTTCCCAAAAAAAAAAAAAAAAAAAAAAAAAAAAAAAAAAAAAAAAAAAAAAAAAAAAAAAAAAAAAAAAAAAAAAAAAAAAAAAAAAAAAAAAAAAAAAAAAAAAAAAAAAAAAAAAAAAAAAAAAAAAAAAAAAAAAAAAAAAAAAAAAAAAAAAAAAAAAAAAAAAAAAAAAAAAAAAAAAAAAAAAAAAAAAAAAAAAAAAAAAAAAAAAAAAAAAAAAAAAAAAAAAAAAAAAAAAAAAAAAAAAAAAAAAAAAAAAAAAAAAAAAAAAAAAAAAAAAAAAAAAAAAAAAAAAAAAAAAAAAAAAAAAAAAAAAAAAAAAAAAAAAAAAAAAAAAAAAAAAAAAAAAAAAAAAAAAAAAAAGTAAGATGTTGCGTTCTCAGATATATAGGCTTTTTACACTATAACTTACCGGTAAGATATGGTGTTTTTGGAAAATTAGGCTATTACTTAATAAATTACGGGTAAGATGTTGCGTTCTCAGATTATTGGCTTTGTTTACACTTAGAACTTGTTTTCCGGTAAGCTGTGTGTTTTTGTGGGGTGGTTTTTGGGAAATTAGGTATTTATTAATAAATTACGGGTAAGATGTGTGCGTTATCAGATATATAGGCTTTTTACCACTAACTAACTTACCATGGTAGATTTTTTTTAATGGGAAAAGTTAGCTATATTACTTAATAAATTAAGGGTAAGATGTTGCGTTTCAGTTTATTGGTTTTTACACTATATTTACCGGGTAAGATATGGTGTTTTTGGGAAAATTAGGCTATTCTTAATAAATTACTTGTAAGATGTTGCGTTCTCGGATATATAGGCTTTTTACACATATAATTACCGGCAAGATATGATGTTTTTGGAAAAATTAAGCTATTTACTTAATAAATTAGGGGTTTAAGATGTTGCGTTTTCAGATTTATAGGCTTTTTACACTATAACTTACCGGTAAGACATGGTGTTTTTGGAAAATTAGGCTATTTACTTAATAAAGTTACGGGTAAGATGTTGCGTTTCTCAGATTTATTGGCTTTTTACACTATAACTTACCGGCAAGAATGGTGTGTTTTGGAACAATTAGGCTATTTACTTAATAAATTCTGGTAAGATGTTGCGTTCTCGATATCTAGGCTTTTTACACTATAATTACCGGAAGATATGGTGTTTTTGGGAAACAATTAGGCTATGTAATTAATAAATTTCAGGGAAGATGTTGCGTTCTCAGATGTAATAGGCTTTTTACACTAAAACTTACCGGTAAGATATGGTGTTTTTTGGAAATTAGGCTATTTACTTAATAAATTACGGGTAAGATGTTGCGTTCTTAGATATACAGTCTTTTTACCCTATAACTTACCGGCAAGATATGGTGTTTTTGGAAATTAGGCTATTTACTTAATAAATTAAGGGTAAGATGTTGCGTTCTCAGATTTATTGGCTTTTTACACTATAACTTACCGGTAAGATATGGTGTTTTTGGGAAATTAGGCTATTTACTTAATAAATTACTTGTAAGATGTTGCGTTCTCTGATATATAGGCTTTTTACACTATAACTTACCGGCAAGATATGGTGTTTTTGGAAAATTAGGCTATTTACTTAATAAATTATGGGTAAGATGTTGCGTTCTCAGATTATTGGCTTTTTACACTATAACTTACCGGTAAGATATGGTGTTTTTGGGAAAATTAGGCTATTTACTTAATAAATTACTGGGTAAGATGTTGCGTTCTTAGATATATAGGCTTTTTACACTATAACTTACCGGCAAGATATGGTGTTTTTGGAAAATTAGGCTATTTACTTAATAAATTAAGGGTAAGATGTTGCGTTCTCAGATTTATTGGCTTTTTACACTATAACTTACCGGTAAGATATGGTGTTTTTGGGAAATTAGGCTATTTACTTAATAAATTACTTGTAAGATGTTGCGTTCTCTGATATATAGGCTTTTTACACTATAACTTACCGGCAAGACATGATGTTTTATGGAAAATTAAGCTATTTACTTAATAAATTAAGGGTAAGATGTTGCGTTCTCAGATTTATTGGCTTTTTACACTATAACTTACCGGTAAGATATGGTGTTTTTGGGAAATTAGGCTATTTACTTAATCATTACTGTAAGAATTTGCGTTCCTCGGGGATATATAGGTTTTACACTATAACATACCGACAAGACATGATCTTTGGAAAAATTAGGCTATTCACTTAATAAATTATGGGGCAGATGTTGAGTTCTCAGATTGTTGGCTTTTTAAACTATAACTTACCGGTAAGCTATGTGTTTTTTGAAACTTAGGCTATTTACTAATAAGTTACTTGGTGGCGGGGAGATGTTGCGGCGTTTAAGAGATATAGGCTTTTTACACTAAACTTCACACGGTAAAATATGGTGTTTTTTTGAAAATTAGGCTATTTATTCAATATTATGGGTAACGAGTTGCGTTCTAAGAGATATATAGGCTTTTTACACTATAAATTACCGTAGATATGATGTTTTTTTAAAATTAGCAATTTACTTAAAAAATTACTGGTACGATGTTGCGTTCTTAGATTATATTTTTTACCCTAACTTACCGCAAGACATGGTGTTTTTGGAAAAATTAGGCTATTACTTAATAATTTAGGTACGCAGTTGCGTTTTCAGATGTTATTGGCAATTTTACACTATAACTTACCGTACGATATGGTGTTTTTGTGGATTAGGCTATTTTCTTAATAAATTACGGGTAAGATGTTGCGTTCTCTGATATATAGGCTTTTTACACTATAACTTACCGGCAAGATATGGTGTTTTTGGAAAATTAGGCTATTTACTTAATAAATTAAGGGTAAGATGTTGCGTTCTCAGATTTATTGGCTTTTTACACTATAACTTACCGGTAAGATATGGTGTTTTTGGGAAATTAGGCTATTTACTTAATAAATTACTTGTAAGATGTTGCGTTCTCTGATATATAGGCTTTTTACACTATAACTTACCGGCAAGACATGATGTTTTTGGAAAATTAGCTATTTACTTAATAAATTAGGGTAAGATGTTGCGTTCTCAGATTATTGGCTTTTTACACTATAACTTACCGGTAAGATATGGTGTTTTTGGGAAATTAGGCTATTTACTTAATAAATTACTGGGTAAGATGTTGCGTTCTCTGATATATAGGCTTTTTACACTATAACTTACCGGCAAGATATGGTGTTTTGGAAAATTAGGCTATTTACTTAATAAATTAAGGGTAAGATGTTGCGTTCTCAGATTTATTGGCTTTTTACACTATAACTTACCGGTAAGATATGGTGTTTTTGGGAAATTAGGCTATTTACTTAATAAATTACTTGTAAGATGTTGCGTTCTCTGATATATAGGCTTTTTACACTATAACTTACCGGTAAGATATGGTGTTTTTGGAAAATTAGGCTATTTACTTAATAAATTATGGGTAAGATGTTGCGTTCTCAGATTATAGGCTTTTACACTATAACTTACCGGTAAGATATGGTGTTTTTGGAAATTAGGCTATTTACTTAATAAATTACGGGTAAGATGTTGCGTTCTCTGATATATAGGCTTTTTACACTATAACTTACCGGCAAGATATGTGTTTTTGGAAATTAGGCTATTTACTTAATAAATTAGGGTAAGATGTTGCGTTCTCAGATTTATGGCTTTTTACACTATAACTTACCGGTAAGATATGGTGTTTTTGGAAATTAGGCTATTTACTTAATAAATTACTTGTAAGATGTTGCGTTCTCTGATATATAGGCTTTTTACACTATACCCTACCCGGCAAATATGGTGTTTTATGGAAAATTTTTAAGCTATGTATTTAATAATTCATGGTAAGATGGGTTTTGCGTTCTCAGATTATTATGGGCTTTTTACACTATACCTTAACCGACAAGATATGATGGTTTTTGGCACAATTGCCTTATATTCACTTATAATTTAGGGGTAAGTTTTTGCTTCTCTAGATTTATTTGCTTTGTACACTAACACTTATCGGTATATATGGTGTTTTTGTGGGAAATTAGGCTATTTCTTAATAAATTAAGGGTAAGATGTTGCGTTCTCAGATTTATTGGCTTTTTACACTATAACTTACCGGTAAGATATGGTGTTTTTGGGAAATTAGGCTATTTACTTAATAAATTACTTGTAAGATGTTGCGTTCTCTGATATATAGGCTTTTTACACTATAACTTACCGGCAAGACATGATGTTTATGGAAAATTAAGCTATTTACTTAATAAATTAAGGGTAAGATGTTGCGTTCTCAGATTTATTGGCTTTTTACACTATAACTTACCGGTAAGATATGGTGTTTTTGGGAAATTAGGCTATTTACTTAATAAATTACTTGTAAGATGTTGCGTTCTCTGATATATAGGCTTTTTACACTATAACTTACCGGCAAGACATGATGTTTTTGGAAAATTAG